GGCGAGGTAGAGCGGCGCGTGGTAGGCAGTGGCGTGCCTGTATACCAGGCTCGTCAGTACATGTACATCACAGTCACGCAGAAAAGCATTTGCACATGGAAAGCTAACCAGTTGGTGAGAAAAGTAATCTTGTCACTCGCCATCGTGGATGCGTTTCAAGTGCGATGCTGCTAGGGTTAGTTGCCACATTCACGGATCAGGGGGGAGGGGGAGTCAAAGAAGCATGTCCTTCCGCTGGTATTATCCAGATCAAGTTCACCGGTATTTCTCAGACTGGCCAGACGAACGCTGTGCCCTCTCCCGCTGGTTACAGCGTATTAACTGTCGTCCCAGGATCCATGTGACTGGTTCCCGAGAGTGAGCTAATGGGGAGAAGGTTTACGAGCACAGCGACGAACTGGCCAACCACCCGGATGCATTCTTGTTCCTCGATTTACCTTGAAAGCATTGAAGTAGTGCACAGAGTGCCATGGCTTCTCTGACGCGAGCGTCATACCGTCGGTTTGTTTTGGCGGCGGTTGTGGACTAGAAGTAATGGATCGATAAGAATCGTATTGTGGAATTGAAGAAGGAGAAGGTTCGAAAGATACAGAAATGAGGGGAAAGTTGTGAATTTATACCTCATGATTCCTAAATACATCATAGCCCTAAGTCCTTCTCCATCATCATGTCGATATGTTCCCCTCACTTAGCCGGAAATGGCTCACTGTACATGTATGACACCCGATGATCCGTGAATTCGAGGGACCTGTTTGGCATTATGCATCCTTAGTCAGTCTTGGATTTTATTTCTCGTCGATTTATTTGATGCGAGGGCCGATTAAAGTGGACTAAGGTTCCAGGCGAAGTCGGACTAGCATAACCCACCATCACGATGGGTGAGGGGATTCTGGGCGAGTGTCACCCTCCTGACGCGTTCGATAGGCCATAACATCCACGCCGGCACTTGGCGAGTCCCATCACAGCTGCAGGAGGTGTCATAACAGGCCATAACGGGGTCAAGGTGGGTGGCATAGAAGATCTTGTCTCTTCCCTCTGGAAATTCGGGAGCAATAGATGACATGCCGGCCCGATGCTACCCGTAATACGCTTCCTCGGCTTTCTCCATCGCTTCCGTCACTACACGTGCCAGCTCTCTCGTTTTTGGGTGTATAGACTTGAGGCCTTGAACCCATGCCGCTCTAGACTTCCAGAACTCCCATCTAGCAATGCAAAACTCTGGGGGTCCAGTCCATAGGCTTTTCTGGTTGGGCGGCCAAGGTTCGATCTTCTTGTTGAGGGAAATGATGAGCTCGCCAGCGTTCAAAACCCACTGCGCGACAAGTGGGATGTTAATGTTGAGCGCCTGGATGTCTTCTTGTTTGAAAGATGCCTCGTCTCGGGGTGTCTGCTCAAACGCCATACAGAAGTCTTGTGCGCAATCATCCGCGAGGTTCAGACTGGGGATGCCCAGGCTAGACATCTTGGCCAGGAATGCGATTGAATTGACATGATTGTCGTAATAGGTTTCCCAATTGCGATCCTCGGTCAAATCCCCCCAGACAGCGCCTATCATGTCCGAATGATCAGACAATTGTAGCGTGACCTCTCCGCTTTGATCAACGACGTCGGGAAGCTGATAGATGGCAGCGACCAGCTTCAGGAGCGCTTCATGGTGCTCTGGATACTTGCTTGAGATTTGCCCGACGACTGACCACACGCCGTATGTGCTATCTTTAGTCGTGAAGCCACTCCCCAATTGTGTTGCTGCCTCTGTGCTACTGACTGCGCCCTTGAGAAAATCTCTAATTGTCTCAACTCTGTAGGAGAAACTGATTAGATCATCCCCCACATGAGCTGTAAATAGTAGTTGGATGGCAATTTAGCGACTTACTCTTTCCGTGTCTGGCCACCGTTGGATTTCTTTATTTCATCCTGCAAATAAGCCTCCCAGTTTCGAGCCATTTCACTGGATATGGATGTGAACAGCTAAATTCGTTAAGTCTCGTGCATGTTGGAATGAAGCAGAAGAGAGTACCCGGGATTGATGCCAGCCATTGAAGTAGCGGGGCCGCATAATAAATAAGATCCAGGCTTCATCAATGGTGAGACGACAAGGAGTTATCCGCACGCACCAATCGTAACAAGGCATAATCTGACAGGACCCAGCCCCAGGATCAATGTAAGCTTTGGTTTTGGAATAGTGGCAAATTCCATTCCATTTCGGGGCGAGCTCGAAACCAACCAGTTTGCTATCATCAAGTGTAGAAAATATCTATGTCTATTAAGTGAGATTGAATAGAGATTTACAGCCCGATATCTTTGAATCCGCAATCTACCCTCCTGAATGAAGAAGCCCCATCGGTTATTCACCCCATCCCGCGCATATATCGACATAGCTGCTTTTTAGACCTCCTACTTGAGCATCTATGGTCCGAGTGGTGTCTCGTAGCTATACTGATCAGCTCCAGCCCACTGGATGAATGAATTGCCAGCAAACTGGTATTGCTCAATTGGCAGGAAACTCTCCAGCTCTGACGAGACACATCCCTTCTTCTCGATCTCACGGCCCTCGAAGCGGCTGTGTATCCAGTCCAGCCACAGCGTCCTAGTAGCGTCAAGAGAAGGCACGTGTCCAGTACCCTGAACAGTCAAGAACTCCAAGTCATTGTCTGGGTAGATCTCGCAGGTGTCGTGGGAAGTCTTGGCAGTCACATTGTACGAAACATAGACATCATTGGTGCCCTGGATAACCAAAAGAGGTCCCTTGAAGGGTTTGCTTCCAGGATTCGCTAGCTTCGCGAACTGCTGGGTATACCATGTCTCGTTGTATGTCGTCTTATAGATGTCGTCACCATTGAAGAATAGCTGCTGGCCCACGGAAATTCCTGCTTCAAGTTCCTGGAAGACTTCCGTGCGCTTAACTCCCAGAGGAGTCAGCCATTTATCGAGCGTGAAGTCTGGGAAGAGCTTGTAGAGCGCCATCCCCACCCATGGGAGGATCAATTGAGGAGAAGCAGAGAAGACGTCGGTTACTGGGCTAACCGCAATCGCACCCTTGTAGCCTCCAAGCAGATCGGAGAATTCCTCCTGTTGGCTTTCGAGAGCCTCAGCAACGCCCCAAGTGACACCTCCACCCTGGCTATGGCCGATAGTAACGAACTCTGAGCTCAGGGTAGTGGGGAAAGCCTCGAGAGCAGCACGAAGCCCATAGAGCCCATCGAGGGAACCTACAGACGCCATATCCCACTGGTGAGGGATACGGCTTCCGTCCCAAGACTTTGAGATGCCAAGGCCTGCGAAATCCGGGGCCAAGACAGCGTAGCCAGCGAGAGCAAGCGTGAATGGGGCCGAGTTGCCGTACCAGAGTGATCGGTGAGCTGAAGGAGCGGCGCTGGCGAAGAAACCGGAAGTACCGTGGTTCCAAAGGACGACAGGTGCCTTGCTCTCGTCGATGCTTTGGAATTTGCGTGGGCGGAACGGCCAAAGAATAAATGCCGACGCCGGAAGGACTGTGCCATTCAAGTCCCTCGTAGTGTAGATAATTCGAGACAAGGCTGTATTGGGCGGGATCGAAAACGAAGAGACATTCGTGAACGGTTGAACCTTCAGAAGCTGGCCAGGAAGAAGAGGTCCGCTCTGGTTGGTCAATGGGGGAAGTGAATAGAAGTCATCCTCGCTTGGGCCTCCGTGTGCCAACTGCGAGCGATCGAAGTTGATGATATTCTCGATGCTCTCTATGGCAGACTCCGAGATGTTGAGTTTGGCAATTTGCTCCTCTGTTAAGGCGAAGGAGGAGTTGAAAGCTGTTGATTGAGAAACAGCCGGAGCCACTTGCGCCAACCCCAGAGGGAGAAGACTGGCTAGCACAGCCAAAGTTTTGAAATTGTGCATTGCTGACTTGAATGTATATCGAGCTTGAGAGGAGATTGTTTGAGATGGAAGTGTTATATAACTCCTCGTTGAACTAAAGCAGAGACCACGTCTACTTATACAAAACGACCGATGATGCTCGCTATTATTATCTCCATTATATTTGTCAGCCTCAAAGAGTTTCATCATTCAAGCAATTTTGCCACGTTCTGCTCTTACGCAGACTGGCTTAAAGGACGTCTTAGAAATTGGGATCGCTGCTCCTCGGCGTTCAGGCGGGTCTCGGACCTGGAGTGGACCATCGGACTTCAAGTGGATCGGTCAGCCTCTATACCAGGCTCCTGTCAGCCGTAACAGTCAGCATCGCAGGGTGCATCAAGGTCAAAGACTAAAGACAATTAATAATTTCTATGGGTTGTTGCATCTGTTCTGTGAGTTGAGTGCTCTCCGAGTTGCAGATATCTGCTCAGACTGCCACGTCAACCGTGAGGCGACTTGGTTGCTCAAGCAATTTGACCATCCTACAAAACATCCTTTAACCTCCATAATCAGATGAATTTCCACACTCCAAAGAGATGATTCACTTACTAAAAGCCTGTTTTGCTTTCTACAGTTAGATCTAGAGTGTTTTGGAGGTGCAGTATTTCCACTGCGGAAAATGTAAGTTCACGCTTCATCGAGGTCTAGGGTGGCGAGGCTGAATATCCAGACTCGGTCACGGAATATCAGCGTTGAGAAATACCGCGGAGCTTTAGACAATCCATGGTTTTCGATGGAAAGTCTTGTTCTGTGGTCCATTTATCTTATAGCTTTTCCATTTTAAAATGTAGATGAACAAGATATTCTACCCTCCGGATTCAAAGGTGGTTATATGCTGAGGGAGATGCAACGAAACTGGACCGATGGTCATCGCCATTTACAACTTACAAAACACAGATAAATTGTTTTCCCCAATTGATGCAAAAGCTGTCGAAATTTCGTTCTCGTAATTGTTTGCTAAGTGAGATGCTATAGAAAATGGAAAAGGGGTCTAGCCAGCTCAATAGCAACCTGGGCTCTCGCGGTCATCAAAAACACAACATGTCCAAGTCAGAGAGGTCATAAAGAAAATAAAGGAAATAGTATAAAGTGTCCCCCTGACACTAACATTAGTCATAAAACTCGGTGCGGTTGAAGCAAAGCTCATACCCCCTGAGACTCATTCTCCAGATCGGAACCCTTGGCTCATCAGAGATCTTTCGGGTCTTGTAAAAGCCAAACTTGGTTGGGAGATTTGACCGAAATTCTTTGTACTTTGTGTACAGGGACTTTTTCGGCGGCGGCATTTGTGGTCTCCGACGAACGGGGTAGGGCCGGCGTGGCTCCTTTGGCTTTTCCGCGCGCTCCGGTTTGAATATAATTTCGTTCTCTGGCTTCCTGTCGGAGTCGTTTGACCGTTTGCTATCAATACTTATCCGCTCATAATTCGTCATCGATTGAAGCGCGGGGTTGTCCTCGAGCTTTTGCCTCACCAGCTCCTCCAGGGGCATCTCGTGTCTCCATGCAGGACCAGGCAGCCGGCCCCATCTCGAGTCCCAGATATGGTAGTGCTTCCATCGCCGGACGATGGCGTTGTACGAGCGGCTTTCAATCTCGCTTTGCGTGGTAGGTACGTTGTCCGCTCCGGCTTTGCGACACTCCTCGTACCATTCTTGTTCTCTGCGTACTTCATACAGGAACTGGTTCAAAGGGCGAGATGCATCAAGCTCAGTGGCCTTCTGCTCGTCTGTTTTCAGATTTTCCGGATCGTCGAAAGGATCACCTTCGAAAGCAGCCTCGTGCCTCCAGGCGTATCCGAGTTGGCAGTTTTGTTCATCGAGAACCCAGGAACTGTGCCAGACACCCTGGTCGATCCACCGTTGTCGGATATTCAGGTCGATGATCTCGTTGATCTTGAAAGGATCATCCAGGGGAGCAGACTCAGCTGGGCACCGATATATACTTCGGAGCGAACGAAAGCGCTCCCTATCAATCTCCTCCAGCATGTAGATCATACGGTATGGTTTTGAGGCGTTGCGGTTCATGCTCACTTCAGCCTCCCAAGAGAAATTGGGTGGATTCCACTCCGCCCCCTCTACCTCGGGAGGAGGTGAGCAAGTGAGCACTGTAGTTGCACCGGATTGAGGCGGCGTTCCCTCTGGGGTCTTGTTGAATCTGGAGCGTTCATGTTCAAGCCTCTGGGGATTGCCTCTGAGCCTCTCGAGGTCGGCATCGAATTTGCCAAGGCCTTGTTGGAGAGTTGTGATCATAATGAATAATGATGTAAACAAGACAATAACTCTGTAGGTATCGGACAGCAAAAATTATAGAAGGAAATTTGATAGAATACGATGGAGGAATGAAGGCATCGGACTTGTTGTATTGTCATTTCTAAAACTTGGCCAGAACTCAGGATGGACCACCGGCTATTAAAGTCAACCAAGGCAAGAAAAGCTTGAGCACTTACGCGCCCTGGAATGCATCTGCGCGAGCCGCCATCCTATCAATAGATCCCAGGGATAATCGGCCGGGTAACTTGTGAGCGAACCGCCCGGTTTGTCATTCCTGCATGAGCTTGGCCACTGCTGGCGCATCAGCGCCAACCACAGGCGAGAGACGCATGAACCCCCTGCCAGATTTACATGCAAGTTTAAGAGATCCCCACTGATATGCCAGAACGCACATCTAACCGCCAGCTTTGAGCGTTTCATAATAAGCGCCATACTACAGTATCATCAATATGTGACAGCCCTGTCAAAGGCCCATAGCCCCCGCATGCCTGCAATGCTACCAAATGCACACCATAATACGCCCTCATGAGCACCAACCTACATCACGATACCACTTTGCGCCATTGTCCTCGCGTTCAAGAGAGTTGGTACATACGCAGTTGGTCCTGACCTGAAACATCACCTTGCAATATGGCGCGAGTGACCACGGCCCTGATGCCATGATCTTGTTGGCGACTGTTGATGAGTGACCTACCGTCAAGGCCATACCCTCTACTATTCAGATAAACGCCGTGTAAATTTAGATACCTTTTCAAATACTACCGCAATAGATTGTTGGGACTAATTTTAACAATGTCTAGGCGCTTCGATTGTATCAGAGACAAGACCGTCACGTACTCGGGCTACTCAAGTGTTCATCAACGAGCATTAAAGAATGCTGCGCCCGCCCCGACTTCTCCCTATCTTTTCAGACTAAACACCGAATTTCCCGAAGACTTTTCACAATATACTCAAACTCCTATCAGGTCCTTTTTTTTTTTCTTTGCCATTCTGTCTCACGCTGCATAAGACTTGCATCATGGCCAGTGGTCACCAGGGCTCCTCATTTCGTCTTCTTTTTTCCCTTGTACCTGATGATAACATGAACGAAAAACGGTCTTCTCACCAGGCCAATTTTGATTCCGCATTTAAAATCGGACTCGACCAATCGCGGAAGGGGCGCACTACGTTAGCCACGATTGGACGCGATGTCAACTGCGACTTCGTGATCAGTGACCCCGCCGTCTCAAGACTACAGTGCTCCTTTGAAATAAATCCAGCCAACGGCCTCATATCTCTGATTGACAGGTCTCGGCTCGGTACTACCGATGTCGGTGGCGAAAAGAGCATTGGGTTCCCTCGCACCGCGCAAAGACAAGTCGTTGTACTCCCTGGCTTTAACGATAAGCTGTTTTTGTGTGGCAAACAGGGATACAGATACTTTATTCAATGGAAGATGGACGCAGCGATGCAGTCGCGAGCAATGTCCAGGCTTTGCACCCCAGGTGCTGAACCCCAGGAAATGACATGGCAAGCCATTGAAACGATTAAAACAAACAAGTGTGGAACTGTCTCCCGCGCTGCTAATGGCTTCACTGGTGGCCTGATTGCTGTCAAAAAGATCGATGCAACAAAACTTGGCAGAAGCAGAACTTCTTTGCTGCAGCTTGAGAAGAATGTGGAATCTTTGCGGAATATATCGCATGTAAGTACACCGTTCATTGTATTTAGTTTATGTGATTCTTCGCCGTATCATGCTCATACTTCCGCAGGATCATATCGTTAGCATCATCACCTCGACCGGTTGGTGTGATAATACCCTTGAGATTGCCATGGAACTCAAAGATGGCAGCCTCCAGTCACTGGTTGATTCATGGGTAGACAGGAAAATGCGTCCCTCTGCCATTCATGCCTTGGGTCTGAAGGCTTTGTATCACTCTCTTCTGGGTTTGAAATGGCTACACGATCGCAAATTCGCCCATGGCTCCATTGCGCGTCACAACATCTTATTCACCCAAATCCCAAGGGGATGGCAACCCCAACTCTATTCACAATTTCGACTTCGTACTTGCGGACTTTGGCCTTAGCACTGCCGATCCGAAGGACGAGTACAACAGAATCTTTCTTGCCCCAGAGCGCCATTACTCCGATAGAAAAGCTAGCAGAAAGTCTGACATTTGGTCTCTTTATGTCACGATGTTAATGGTTCTGCAAGTCGACGATGACTTCGCTTTCAACATCAGATCCTACGACATGGACATAGGCCAACATTTCGATAACGTCGTCCAGGCTGCGAGGAGTACCACGGGGAGTCTGCAGAACCTCCACGTCATGGCAAGGAAGAACCCAGAGGAGCGGTGGTCTGCAAACGAAGTTCTTGAACACTTCTTTAAACACGGCCACTGGCTCGACCGTCCCTTGCCACCCCCAGACCTGCTTCCTCGTGATAGGAGGCAGTACGGCCCGAGTTCCTACAAAGCCCCGAGAAGGGGCCTCACAAGACAGTCAACGATGGAAAGGCTGAAGCAGACTGGGGACAATATTCTGCGGCGCATCACAGGTGAAATCTCTGATGCCGCCGGGAGAAGGGGAATGACTTTCAGAGGGCATGATTAAGGCTGCTATACGAGTGAGAACAATGTGTTGGTAGGACTAGGCGTTACATCTTAGGCTATATATTAATTCAAAGTCGCGAAAGGAATTGACATCCTTGCTTGTCTAACTTTGCGTAGAATGGATTGTGGGTAGCCTTGATTCAATCAAAGTGACTACCAGATTTCCCGCGTTAATCGAGCAGGCTTCATGTACTTAAAAAACTTATGGAGGCTTTCAGGAGAAACTGCTTGGAGTAAAGTATTGAATGGGCATCAGCTGCCGGGTACCTCTGCAGCGCTGATGCCTACGCACGCATTTTCAACAACCGACCAAATTTGGAGGCTTTTAGATTTTTGTCGCCATTGCTAACGCATTTACGGGCACAGTACCCAATCATGGGGGATCTTACGAGTCGATGGGCCCCTCTTCTCTTGCCACCATGCTGTTTACCGCCGCTTAAGAGAGGATCAAAGGAGGAACAAGAACCCGCCAAGAGCTCAAAGTGGGAGCCTGTCTGGTAATGAGAATAGACACGAATGCATATCACTATCTTTTTCTCAGGCTGAAGCATTTAAAAATAAGATCGGCAAACATTGGGGGCTGTGTCAAGTCGTGGTGGCAGCTAGAAAAAACTCCAGGCAGCGGTTTGGACGATAAAACTCAACTCCAGGCAACAAGAACCGGGACGGCCTCTCGGAAAGATACCCAAGATTTTCAATCTGGTGTGGTAGTTCCATATCCTTCAGTAAAGTAGTTTAGTTTGGTCTGCAGGAAGGACATGAACTTTTGATCCTCCCAGGCACTGCGAAAGACTCAGCCCCGATGTATGAGGGAAAATATTGCGCGGTCAATTAAGCACCCCCAGTTTCAGAGTCTCTCGACTACTATATAAAAGTCCACCTTAGCCATTATAATGCAATCGCAGGTCATCTTCAGCAACTCAGGACAACTTGAAACCAACTCGTTCATCCAACATCCCTAACATTGTTTACTATCACGCCCCTCAATACCATGGACACTCCACCTGCACTTACACATCCCCTTCGTCGGGCTATTGTCATAGCATTTGGTCCAACATTGTTGTTGAACATCATTGAAGCTGCTGTGGTTGGCTCTGGACTCCCCTTGATTGGGGTCCTTGTCCATCTTGCTTCCACTATTATCTGCATTGCTTATTTGCGACTCGGAAAGCTCAGAGGCGAACAAGAAGGCGCCATACGTCTTGGGCCCTCACCCGATAAACCTGGCATGTTTTTTTGTCGAGCATGGTTCTTATTTGTTCTCGATGCACTGTTCACGGCCATGTTTTTCCCAGTTCTCGTCCTCAGATGGGTCTGGGTCCCGACATATGCTGGCCAGGCCGTCTTAGCAACATATGCTGAGATCCCTCTGCTTCTTGCACTGTGAGTTGATCTATTTCAAGATTGCATACATAGAAGAATTCATCTTTCTAGTAATCGCGGCTGACACCATAGAAAAAAGGGCCTGTCACGCCTACCTTTGTTTCTTGTCATTGCAAGACCTCATCGGGCTACGCCACTTCGCCCAACTTTTTAACCGCAAGGTTTGCCCGTGCTGTCAAAATTCTCAGCGCCCGGTTCCTCCCGCCATTGGGCCAAATTTCAATTCTCAAGCCTCTGGCGTCGGTGCTGACCCTCGCGTCGCAATCTATCGCGACTCGGTCGAAATCGAGACTGGAGAGTCAGCCGACAGAGAGGCATGCGTCACGGACAATAAACCCTCTCATAACCCAAAGTACGACAAGGAAGTCGGCCTGGGTGTTGTGTAAGGGTATTGTAGGCCATGCTTCTACATTACTATCAAACTCCGTGGCTCAACAAGTCTGTATACCGATTGACGCGAAGTTGAACTGCCGTGTGATTGACACTCATCAATATATTTTTATGCAGTACAAAGCACCTTCATCTTTCAACCTGAATCAAGATCCGCTGTTGGCGGAATAACAATACACCAGCATAAGATATAGTTGGAGCCTTGATCTCGGTTGATGGCCCATATAGCACTACAAGAAAAGAGCTCCATAGTACACGCCCTAGCAAAATAAAAGAAAAGGTCCATCGAAGGATGTTAAACCCACTAGCGGTAGACGGTGGTATGAATATATCATTTTCAACATTCTAATGTTGGCGCCTGTGCGTATACCCAACATCGGCTGGGGGCAAAATCATCTCAAGTTCTGGGGGATAACCTTTGAGCTCCCCTCTGCCACCAAGTTGCTTGTGCTCTCTCTACTACTCGTCTCGAACTCCGTAGTCTTATAAATCTCCCCAATCTTTCTTGTGTTGCTCTGAGCGCCTGAGCCCCCTATCGTTGGCGTGTTCTGCAGGGCGATGGCGCCAGATTTACTACCGGTGCCCCGACTAGGATATCCCGAACCCGTAGTGCCGCTTCTGCGTGTCGTCCACGTCTCGCGGCGGAATAAAGCCGTCATGATCGGAGCATTTATAGCGAAAATGGTGACGAGGGCTTCCCGGAAGACCCAAACGGATGATTGGGCCACGCCGGGACCGTTGTCGACGGAGAGGATGCATCGCGCGATAGCCATGGCCATGACGAAAAGGCCCAGTGACAGGAGGAAGGTGATACCGATTTTCCGCATAAGAGACATTTGAACATCCCACAGGGTGCGCACGGGGACAGCAAGAAGCAGAGCATCTGCAACGACATTCCCGGTCGCGATAACAATATTCTGCGTAACTCCAGCCGAGCACTCGAAACCCGGATCGGGAAGAATCTGCCAGTTTCTCTCGATAGGCAGACAGTGTGTAAAGGTAGCTATGCAGGCTGCGACCCAACATGCGACCGAAATGCCTACCACGACATACATGTACATGATCATATTCGTCTGGCGCCTGGTGGGAGGTTAAACGTCTCGCTCTTGCCATCATTTGGGTCAAGGATAAACAACAATAGGGGGGAATACTCACGTTAGTCGCATAAAGAAGACGATGAGGACGGCCTTTGCACTCCAGACAAAATTTATGAGGATGAAGAACGAGGCATACATGGCTTTGGCACCGGCCCGCAGCTGTGACGCCACCTCCGGTGACAGTGCCTCGCGTTGCTCTTGTGTGAAGCCTAGAGGGGCTCCCACGACAGCAAGATATTCAACCATGGCAAACAGGGCGGTGTGCCATACGAAGACTGAGACAGAGAACCAGTCATCCCAATACCAGCCACGGACTCCCAGTGTTCTTATTCGGATGAACCAGCGTAGGACGAGGATCAAGGAGCCGACCGAGTATTCTGCTCGGCTTTCGACCAGAGCTGGAGGAACTGGAGCCATAATGTTGAATGTTCGCGTCGACCGTGGTTGGCTAGTTTCGTCGGGATCGTTAACAGTTTGAGAATTCGAATGAGGGTTCGAGTCGTGTGTAACAGTGATATCGCTGCTTCTTGAATTAACTGAACCAATTCTGCACAAAGAGCCAAGCCTAGAATTTTTTGCATGGTTCCGGCATGTTTAACCCCTGCTTATTCGCACCGTTGAAATACGGTTGTCGGGGCTCCTGGTTGATCATTGCTAGGCAGAGAGGATAAACCGTCTCATCGTGATTGTCTCCGACAGAGCACCGCGCGGTAGCATGGGTGTAGGGCAAGGCGGGATCTCCGCGGTTCTGGGGGCTTGTGACTTGTCAATCCATCCATGACAAAAAAGCGGATCGATGTTTAGAATAACACTGAAGGTCTATTATGAAATCTGTTCGCTCAATCGGATTTTGACCCGTTAGGAAAGCAGCGAGGCCCTTCATGGATCGCCTTTCATGGATCTTCCTCAGCCTTGCTCCACCGGTGGCTCGTCAGGCCATCCCCTGAGAACGCCAAGACTGCAGGTTGGTACTTTCTCCAGTTGTTTTCATGCATAATACACTGTACATATCTATACTAGTCCTAGAGGATGTTCCCTTCTAGTCATGAGAAGAGAAACTGGTGTAACCAATGGCGATGGTGAAGTAGCATTATGTTCTTCACAGAAACTAGCATCTACATTCAATAGCTTAACCAATCCAGTACAGTTTCTACTACGTAGTTGCATATATACTGCGTCATTGAGCAATTTTACGCGTTGCTGATGCATCAGATCCACCGCAAAGCAATACAAACCCTCAGGGATCATACAATCACCATAGAACTTTTGGGAACCGGGACAAGGGGAACACTATTGGTACCAGTTATTCCCGTGTAAATACTCTAAACGCACTCCACTCTTGTTGGCCGAGTGGATAACTCGTGCAGTTTCGAATCCTTCTCATTTCACAGTGCATTAAAGGCCGCTGATCACTTCTACGATCCTCAATTCACACATGGAGGTTTGTATAAAACTGCTCGGCTATCACTGGCGGAATAAACCAAAAAAGTAAAAAGAGACGGACCTAGCAATCTGTTACAGCATCAATACAAGGACCATCCATCATGGGGCGAGATACTGTGTCCATCCTTGACTCGATCCAGCCAAGCGAGTTCGCCACCGAAGCCGACCGCTTCGCTGCCAAAGAGGCTGCTCGACGTCTCCTTTCTCGTCTAGAAACTCCCTTTGAGCAAGCTTGGGCCATCACGTTCGAGAATTCAGGCTTGATCTCCGGTCTTCAGCTCATCCAGGACCTTGGCATCTGGACAAAATGGACAGAGGCTGACAAGCAAAGCCCGGGGACGGCCAGGACCCTGGATGAGCTGCTGGGTTGGGCCAACGCAAGCTGCGAGCCGAACCTGTTACGCCGTTTTCTCAGGCAGATTACCGCTCTATACTACATTGATGAAGTTGGCGTCGATACCTGGAAGCCCACCCCTTTCTCTTTAGCATTGGGGCATAAGGAAACATACGGTGGCGATGTGATCAAGGCGGGGTATGTATACAAAGCTTCTGAAGAATCACTCATGGAATTGAGTCGTTGACTGTCCCCAGAATGGACCATGCCATGCCCTGTGGCAATAACCTCCCACGCTTCTTAGCCAAGAACACATACAAGGAACCGCTCGACATCGCCACGTTTGACAACTATCGCGATGTCTTTGGCCGCGACTTCTTCGCCTATGTGCAGGACCATCCAGAGGCTGGAGGTTCATTCCAGGGTGTCATGGCCGCATTGACGCATTACAAGATGGTCTGGACCGATGTTTACGACACGACTCCCCTCATAGCTGGCGCCGACTTGAGCAAGCCTCTCTTTGTCGACGTCGGCGGCGCCCAAGGCCTCGACACCCAGCGTTTGCTGAACCGCCATCCCGACCTTCCCGCCGACGTCCTCTTCGTCGAGGACCTTCCTGAAGTAGTCACCACCCACGGGAAAGAGAAGCTTGACGATCGCATCAGCAAGCTTGCCCACGACTTCTTCCAGCCCCAGCCCATCGTCGGTGCGCGAGCCTATTTCTTCCACGCGGTGCCGCATGACTGGCCTGACGCGGACGTGGCGCGCATGTTTGCCGAGGTGAAGAAGGTCATGACGCCAGGCTATTCGAAGCTGTTGGTATACGAGGTCATCATGCCTGCGCAGGGCGCGTCGCACTTGGCAGCGACGCTGGATCTGGCCCTGATGAGCTGCACAAGTGGACTAGAACGGACCGAGGAGGCTTGGAGAAGATTGTTGAAGGAGTGTGGGTTCAAGATTGTGAGCATCTCTAGGCATCCAAGGGCCTTGGAGAGTGTTATCGAGGCTGAGATGGAATGATAATGTACACAGCCAGAACGGAAGTGATCATTAGCATTGGTCTTATGGTAATAACGAAGCTGAAATCATTCCCTCTTCACCCATCCCTCCTACAAGTATCTCAGTATCAATGCTCAGATGAACATTTTCCCCATCCAAACTAGTAGGATTTAACGGCTCTCTTAGACACATTGATCCAGGATCAAATCATACGATACAGAGCTCACGGCACTTGTCAATATCAAACAGTTCTCCCTTCATGGAACCGTGAAGATACGTATTTCCGACAAGATTAAACCTGCCATCACCGCACGGACGAAGCATCAGAGGTACCATCCCGCCTTTTATAAGGGCAATATAGTCACCGGGCTGAACTTGTGTCGACCATACCACTCCAACCAGCCCAGTTTTAGTCTTGAACAAGCTCTTATGTGCCATCCCAAATGTAGAGGTAAACACCGACGCCATCGATTTGGAGTCGAGCATGAACATGTAGAGCAGCCTGGCTATTTTGAGTGCAGCTGAAAGTCCAAATTTGGTGCTGCCCAGGGGAGAGTTCTTAATAGCAGAATAGAGTCGGGCGATTTTAAAGACGTCTTTGAAGCCCCGATGCAAATTTGGGCGAAAGTCCTCTGGTATGTCTCCTCGATAAAGCGTCGATCCCAGGGCGTCTGAGAAACTCTCGCCGGTAAAGTGGTAACTGCCATCTAAGTTCTGTCCAAACATTTTCGCTACTTCACGCCAGCGGGCAGTTGCCAGCACGCCTTTTTGCTCTAATGAAAGATGACCGAGGCTAAAACTCTCATGTATGCCCATAGTTGGAATGGTGAAGTCAGTAATCTGATCAAGAAGAAACCCTTCAAGGCTCAGAACATTTTCGTTCACTCTATAGGACGGAGAATGAAGATTTGTGAGCCCTGCATTGTAATCTCCCTCGGCGCCTGATTTGCATATCTCGTGGTAGTATATGATATTGTCCAAATTATCCGGCTCTTCGTAGCTCCAGTCCACTACCCACGAAGGCAAATCTGGAGTTTGTGTTGGATGTGGCGGTCGTAGTCCAGCCGCTACGAAAATGGGGAGAGTTGGGTACACCTCCATGCATATTTCAGATACTTGCTGA